CCCTTACAATAAAATGTTTCATTAATCTAATCTACAAACGTGAAAAGTTTTAATCTATATAAGTATTTATACATTTTCACAAATATTATATGTATATATAATAATGAAAGAAGAAACAGATAAAAAGAGAGAGAGAGAGAGAGAGAAACGCATATGCGTACAAGTTAAATACGCATGCTAGCATTCGAGTGCATAATAATCGAACGCGAGGCGGGAATTTCGAAATAATACTCGATTGTAACGTCGATAGATTAGATAGCAATTACAAAGATATACACGTGGATAGATAATGTGAACAATTTGTTTAAATAATTCCATATAAAAAAACAATTGATCGTTGTTTCATTCTTTATCATTCTACGTGGATCTTTCATTTGTTTTCAAAAATACCGCGTCTGCCGAAATTCAAGTGTTTATAGCACAGTTAAATGCCCGAATATAGACGAACGCAGTATTGACGTTGAAAAAAATTAAATAAATAAATAAATATAAATATATGTGTATAATAATGATTGAATAATTATAAACTCACCATTTGATGATTCCGATGATTTTTATTTTTCCGTCGATATTCTTTAAGCTGGACAGATTCGCCTTGTTGATTTTCCTTTGAACGAGAACAAGCGCGTCTCACAACCGATATAACCACGGATGGACCCATTCGACCATCTTCGTTTAACCTCTGTTAACTGCTATCAACAACTAGATTGACATCCTCACGTGCTTGCTACTTATCAGACGGGCTGGCGCCATCTAGCGGAATTTTCAACAACTATTTTGCGCGCGATCTGTTAAACATTTGAATACTTGTTATTTACAAAATAAAATATGGAATATAAAATTGATTAATAATATTAACAGATGATAATAATAATAATAATAATAATAATAATAATATTTATTTAATATATATATATACCTTTATCTATCTTTTATATCACAAAGTTCATCTTCTTTTACAAAAGGATTTATATTATATATATATATATTTTCTTTTATTTATTATATTATATTATATGTATATTTATAAATAAATAAAATTTATATTTGTTATTCAACTCGCACTGAACCAATCTGAACCCATTGCTCCAAAAAATGCTGCTGCACCTGATTTTATAGTAGATCCAGTCGATTCGGTTTTTGTGTTATCCTTCGTTGTTGGTACTTTCTTCCGCTAATATTAAACATAATTGATTGTTAAAAAAAAAAAAAATATGTATATATACGTATATCAATGCAATTATGTTAATGTTGTATTAATAATAAAAATAGTTATAGAAAAACAATATGATCACACCATGCACAACGTCTCTCTTACCGTATTTATAAAAAGACGTACTTAAATCAATGGTTGATCTGAAGATATATAGATATATACACAAAATAAGATATATAATAATAAAATATACGCACATATTAAATTAGAATAAATAATAAACATAAAATTATAAATAATTCTATTTACCTGAGTTTTATCTTGTATTGTTGTTACAAGAGATAAATTTCTCATAGGAACTGTTATGGCAAGAGGAGGGAACCATGGTGCACCTGTACACAATGCAAGCAATGCAGGTGAATCTAATTTATTTCCTTCTCCAGCATTGTATTCGCTGCGTGCTCCAAGAACTGAATGAAGTTGTTCCAAATGTGGTATTAAATTTCCAAGCAAAAGCTGCAAGAGAAAAAACATTATTTAATATCATTTTTTTTAAATTTATATTAGTTCTTAAAATGTTTTAATATAATTACCAAAGATCTTAGAACACTTTTCTTTACGTTTGTATGAAGGAATGGATTAATAACATTATAATCAAATGGATCTATCTTAGAAAGTGCACTGTCTATCGCTTTCGATGACATTTCATTTAAATGTTTGTTTTCTCTTGGTACCATTAGTAAAGTACAATACTTAATATCGAATACTATTTGTAATGCTTGTTTCTGTTTAAGATTTACAATGTTTGATGTAGCTTGGTAATAATCAAACAACTCTGATGCTACCGCTTCAATAATCTCATGAAGTACCTTTCTGTAAATGTATATACAATCATTAATACATATATATATATATATATGTCATTTTGTTTGAAATATATATTTCTAATAATTACTTAGGAATAGTGTGAGGTATAATTTTATTTAAATCCTTAATAACTGCCATTAAAAATTTCTGCAGCATTATCGAAGGTTGATGTGGCACTAATATTTCGGTCTTCAATGTTTTACCATCTCCAGATTCTTCTTCTATTATAACTTTTTCCCAATCGGATAGAACAGATTTGATTTTAAATCCGTCAAATAATTCTTTCGACATATATTTCTCTTTGTGATCGGACAATTTATTTCTATAAATATTAGCCCAAACAGACCATATGGCAATACTTTCCTCTTTAAGAGTATCAACTATAATTTGCCATTTGGTATTGATTATAGATAATCCAGTTGCTTTGGATAAATTACAACATTTGTTTAAATTCGGTGATAACGAAGTGAATGCCATAAGAAGTCTTGCTAATACTATCGTATTTATTTCTTGATGATTATGATTGTTATTGATGTAAGTATTTTTAATATATTTGATAAAATCTTCAATCATAGTTGTACTAACCGATTGCAAATGTTCTTGAATTTCAGCTCGATCAGAAAAGGTATTGGGTATTACCGATATATTTTTAGATAATAAATTATCTTTGATATTTAAATTGCATACGGTGTTGTATAAATACTGTTCCAAATCCGAAAGTAATTCGTACAAACTATTGTCAAATTCTTCACAAATTTGTACCACGTTAGGAGAATATCCTTTAGTTTTCATCAATAATGATCGTTTGCCATCTAATCCAGTATTGTGCGTTAATTTCTGTGGTATGTCATTTGGAGAATCTTTCCAAACGAACCATCGTAAATCGTGTTCAGGAAATTCACATCTTTCTCGAGTTACTTTGTTTAACATATTTGATATATTAGATTTCAAATTTTGTATACTCTCCATCCATTTATCATGTATTATACCTGAAAATATATTATTATATAGAAACAAATGTATATAAAATAAAATAATTGACGTATAAAATTTGAATGTTAAACGATACATACTCTTTGCTCTTTTACTTAAAAGTGGTTGGAAATATTCCAACCAATAACTTATATTTGGTAAACCAAAATCCTCCCATATGATTTTCCAATTTTCTGGTAAATTAATACCAACTGCCTCTTCTCGTATACTGTACAAACCTTTTACAGAAACTATTAATTGAAATAACTTGTCAACTTCTGTATTACAAAATTCATTGAGCCAATTCAACCACGTTTTAATACATTCTTGTAAATCTGTTATAGAAAACTTATCGTCTCCTTCTTGTGAAAATGGTTTCTCGTTCGTTATAACAGATGATAAATATTTCTCTATCAAATCTTTATTAGCATCGATCTTTGAAAGTAACGAATATACTTTGTCGTCTTTTATTGCATCAATATACTGTGAAACCAATCCTTCATGTTTACTTCCAGCAGCTGAAATAAAGAAATTCTTATTAAAAACATATTCTTTTTATATTTTATATAAATATATATGTATATATACCTACTTATAAAGCAAGCATAAATTAATGTAATAGTATGAATTAACATTTCTATACAAAGTTTTATTTTCGTTTTAACGTTATAATCATTTTCATCCTTGATTATAGATTCGACAGCACGACATCTTGTGAATATTAATTTTTCTAATAAATCCTTATACGAAGTTTTGTTAAGTAGTATGAGCGATGCTAAACAATTTGCTGCACTCTGAAATACAAAAGTATTAATTCATCTTTAATATAAAATAATGTTTTAAATGGATACAAAATTATAATTATTTACCTCAGTTGATACATTCCATGATCGCAATATCATATCACATTCTCTTAATATAATATTTTTAAATTGACCTATAATATCCCATTGTTTAAATACTATTGGATATTTTACAGCTAATTCTTCATTGCCTATTTCAAATTTTAATCTATATTTTATATGTTGTGCTAAAATAAATAATTGTGTGGCGTACAATAAATTATGACTTTCTATATTAGACCAAATAAATTCTGGAATATCCATTAATATTTTTATTTGAATGATTACTGTAGCTATATCTTCAGATTTCCTGCAACACGTTAGTTTCAATAATACAAATCTCCAATTAAATTCTATATGCATATAGTATATGTTAATTAATATTAATTTATACTTGGTAGGTTGATTTTCAACGGAGTCTGTTTTAAAACCAATAAGATACTTTTCTTGTAACTCTCGAAATTTCTCCTCTGTTTGTGATATTCTTAAGCTTATTCTTTCTGCTGTAAATTTCATTTTTCCAATAGTGTCAGCAGCTAATATCAAATCACGATATCTTTCTCTAAAAGAAACCAAATTTTTATGAATGAAATTAAAATAATAATAAATAATGCGTACTGTTAACCAATAAATAATTATTGATAAAATAAACTTACCCAACTAGAGTACGTAATTCAATCTTCTTACGGTCACTTTCTAGTTGAATTTTCTTTTGAATTTCCTCTATTTCTTTGATCGTATGTTGCTCGAAAAGTTTATTAATGTCTAAATCTAAATAATTTAATGTGGTCATTTTCATTCCTTATTCTCTAACTTGTAATTCACAATTATTTCTTTGAACTGTCAAAGGATCATTTTTAATTTAAACACAAATACACTTTTACACATTTGTTTTTTAGTACGTCAACAGTATATCAGGAGAACAGTGCAGTAAAAGAAAACTAATAAAGGTTAGAAAATAAAACATACATAGAATAGTATTCACATTTTGGTTATAAGCATGTAGCGGACTGATAATATTAAAAATGGCAATCAGATGGCGTGTCGGGGGCCAAATTCGAAAGTGCTGCCGTCTAGTAGTCATCTAGAGTAGTACAAGTAATTTAGTAATTTTAATTATCACTAGATCAGATGAATACCAAACTGCATCTTTGAAAAGAAAAGATTCTATTATAATTTGTCAAGTGTCAGGTTTTTGTTATTACTTTAATTATGAGACTTACTGCATTTTTATTAAAAAATAAAAAAATATTGCCTTATCGATTCAGAGGGTGAGTAAATATCAGTGTTTTATTTATCAACTATTTATAAATATAATGTAACCTATGATAAAAAAAGATATGATGTTAAAATTAATTTATTTATATTAATTTGTTTCTTTTAATGTTACAGGAAATATCGTAAAGTATGGGAACCTAAATTTGAAGATTTGTTAAAATTAAGGCATGATTTTGAAAGAGAAGAAAGAAATATGTTGATTTTAAGACATCCTTATTTAACTCTTGAACAATCTTCTGGACACATGAAACATATCCCAAAAATACGTACTGGTGTTCTTTTTGGGAATAAAAAGAACGAAAAGTTTGCAAAAATGATAACAATTGAAGAACGATTAAGTTCGTTAAAAGTTACCGAAGCGTGGGAATAAAGTATGAAATAAAAGACATAAAATGTATTAAATACTTATCCTGTGCTTTATGTATATTATTGCATTGTATAATTATTAAATACTTTATAAGATTAAATATATATGTATAGAAAGCTTATAAAGCTTACAAATGTATAAAAAGATATTTGTATACATTCACGTTACAGATAATAATTTAAATTGGAACATATATGTACAATAGTAAACACAATAGTAATGTAATTTTAATATAATTATTACAAAAGAGATGTGCTAATTGTTCTCTGAGAATCAGATTGGAATTTAAATTAAAATCTTTAGTACTAGTTATGTTTACTTGTAGATAATTAATTCTTTTAATATGAAATTGCATTTTTTTTATTATTATCCTTTTTACTACATATTCTTTAAAATGATTTATACTCAATTGCATTATAATCTAGGTTATGAAACAAATTTAAAAGTTCCCAGTTGAGTGACTCTTGTCTAGGGTTTTTTTATCTTGCATAAAGCGATATATACATGTTTTAAATAAACTATATCTCTATTATGTTAACAGAAGACGTGTAGTGTTGACTTCGCGTCATGATTATTTTTATTCTTATTGCAATCTTTCTTGTATTAATTAACACCTTATTAAAAAGGTATGCAAAAGTTTATATAAAAACGAAATTAAAATAATTAATACATTTTGTTTATTACTAACATATTCATAACAAGTTTCAAGGTGATTTTTTTTTCATTTTTAGTGAAAGAAAAATATAAGTAGGTGTCGCATCTTAAATCTTTATTCTATATTCTAATAAATTAACCAAATTTTAACCAGTTAAAAATTACGGCTTGTTCAATTACATTATGCTAACGTAAATATTGTTCCAATTTTTTTCTAATATATTTCTCTTGTGTGTTTTCTTTTTTCTATATATTATAAAGTATGTTTATTTCATGAACAAGTGAATAACCTATTCAGTATTCGTTTATATAATAAAAGTTCATTTATATATCTTTTCTTTTCTTTTTTTTTTCCTTATAAATATAAATATAAATATAAATAAAAAAAATATATATTTATTTAATTTAATTTAATCAATTATTTATAAATTATTATCATGTTTGCTATACTAGTATGTTTATTTTTATATGTTTTCATACATATGTTACCTTATAGGTTAGGAAAACTACATCAAAATATGAATGATCTGAATATGTTATATCAAAAAAACAAATTTATGGAACGGAATCAAGAAAATACTGGTACTTCTATCAAACCAAAGACTAAACGTTCAGCTTCTGGTTCTAATTGGGAGACATATAAAGATATTATCTATAAAGAAGAATTAAATCGTGATAAAAAGAAGAATAATAATTCAACTACTGAATTTTTCAAAAAACCTCAGAAATATAGAAAATTCAATCAGGTATCTCTGTCTTTTCTTTTTTTTTTTTAAAGATTATTAATCTTAAGTCATTATCATGAACAATTAATAAGACATTTATTTCCATAGGGTAATGCGATGAATAAAATTGTCAATTGTGATCCTGACATGGCGGAGAATAAGAAGAAAATAACTAAATTTATTGCAATGGACTGCGAAATGGTTGGAATTGGCGATGGAAGAGAAAGTATGGTTGCTAGAGTATCCATTGTCAATAAATTTGGTCATTGTCTTTATGACAAATATGTTAAACCAAGAGAGAGAATCAAAGACTATAGAACAGCGGTCAGTGGTATTTATCCGCATCATTTGAAAAGTGGCGAAGATTTTGCTACCGTACAAAAGGAAGTTGCAGAAATGTTAAAAGGAAGGATTTTAGTTGGTCATGCTTTAAAACATGACTTAGCAGTGTTATTTTTATCGCATCCTTGTAGAAACTTAAGGGACACATCAAGATATAAACTATTTAAAGACATCATTAAATCGAAAACTCCTAGTTTAAAGAGATTAGCGTTAGAACTTTTAGGAATAGAAATACAAATAGGCGAACATGATTCTGTAGAAGATGCAAGAGTAGCTATGCAATTATATATGCTATATAGAAACAGATGGGAATCCGAAATTTACTCTAAAAGGTAAAATAAGATATATATATGTATATTATATTTATTACGTTATCGAAAAAAGAAAAATAATCATCATTATCCCTGGTTTTTTTCCTTTTTTTTTTTTAAATGGATTTTCTTTCAAATTATATGCATAATTCTGAATGTACATTTTCTTTTTTTTTATCGAAACGTAATTACAGATATTAATAGGGATATATGAAAATTTGGTCAAACAAATTACGACCATAACTTTACTATATCACATATGCTTCTATATATTTTCTTTTATTGTACAAAATTATTTCTATTTACAAATAATGTCACAATTAAATTCTATTTTATAGTCTAAATGTGATAGATTATTTGTGAATAAAATAATACGAAAGTAGCAATTGAAAATTTATACCCGATATAGAAACAAATGGAAATTGGAAAATTAAAATATAAAATATAAAAGAAGATATAACAATATATATATATATGTATATGTATGTATATACTTATGTACATATGTATATATGATATGTTAATATATGTGCATACATATACACATATGTATAAATATATATATATATTTATTGTTTTATCAGAAAACAAAACCAATCATTATTGTTCTCGATTTTATTGTATTTTTTTTTTTTAGTCCCACACATCATTCTAAATGTGCATTTTTCTTATCAAAGCATAATTAAAAATTTATAAAAAAAAAATATTCAAAATGTGCGATGTCATTTATAGTTCTAAATATATGTATTTTTTTTTTTTTATCGTCAAAACGTATTTCTATTTATAAATAATGTCACAGGGAAGTGCTATTTTACTGTTGAAAAATTAATAGATTATTTGTAAATGAAATAATACGAAATTAGATGTAATTATTTTTAAAAAGTATTAATAAAATGTTCATTTTTTTAATTATATATAATTATTATATTGTTAACGATTATTTATATAAACTATATGCCTATTATTATTATTATTTATAGATCAAATTAATTGCATTTTACAATGCTCTCTTTAGAATTGTTCTTTAATTTTGTAATACAAAATTATAACAATTTATGCACATTTTTCAAATCAATATAATAAAAGAAGAAATAAATAAATAAATAAATTCACAATTGAAATGAAGAAAAATTGAGAAAGAATTAAACATAATATGGAAGATCGAAGGTCAGAATTGAGATTACTAGCAATTCTTATATCAAAAATCATCAGTGTTTCTCTCTTTTATGGTAAACACGTCGACCTCGTTATCAATATCAGTTTTATTTTTTTTTTTTTTTTAAGATATACTTCCACTTTCTGTACAATGAGTTTGACTAGAGAATGTTTCTTTCATCGTGCTTACTTATTCAGCTTTAGACCTTTCGATACGAGTGTCAAGTGTTTCACGAATTTCACAAAATTTCTATTTCAAACAAATTCATTTATTATATATTATAAGTAATATAATATATATATATTTATTTATTTATAGTGTAAACATAAAGATTTTTTTTATGCACGTACGTATGTATTTATTTCTATTCGGCGTTCTATTTTACTAGTGCAAAAAAATTAGGAAAAGAAAAGAAAAAGGTAAATATTTGCCTTTCATTCGCAAAGTATCTGTGCTATCTACCTTTCACATTTCTTTAATCAGTTCCTTGTCGAACAGTCTGTCTTGCAAATCGAGTTATATTTATTATTTTATATTATATATCTTGTTCATTTGACAAATTTAATTATTTCATATATTTAATATTAATTTATAAATCAAATATTATATATATATATTGCATAAGTGCAAGTGATTTGCACGGTACTTTATTTCATTCGATTGATAATAATCTGGCATTAAATTTAAAAAAAAACAAAAAGAAATTTTCTCTTTTTCTATAGAACTTAAAAATATTCTGGAAAAGTTATTAATGATATGAATATAATATAGAAAAGTTTTCATGAAATTTCATTATGTAAATTTTGGTTTATTTTCGATTTACACGGTACTTTGAAAAATTGATTTTTCATGTAAATTGGAAGATAGATAGATTGATATTATACTTAGTTTGCAAAACGTTAAAATATTGCAACATTATAATTTGAAATTTGTAAACAGATTAATTCATTCCAAGGATGAAATTTGCGATAATCGGTGCAGGATCGGCAGGTTTAGCTGCTCTACGACATTTCACTTCCGGTAATTACGAAGATGAAGTTGTTTGCTATGAGAAAACTGAAGAAATCGGTGGTACTTGGGTTTACAGAGAAGAAACCGGTTTGGATCGATACAATTTACCGATTCATACCAGCATGTATAAAAGTTTAAGGTAAACATTTGATGCTATAGAAAAAAATCATGAAAATTGTTGTGAATAATTTGTAATATTAATTTATAGGATAATTGTACTTTATATAAAACGTCTGTTTCTTTTTTTTTAAACTTTTACATACTGTCAAAAATATTAATACATAATTTTTTATAACAGATATTAAAAAGAAAAATTCACTGGAAGCATATTTGTTTCCAAGTATTAATACCGATTGTTTTCTGTAAAAAAAAAAAAGCGCATTATTTTCGATAATTTAAATTATTTATTTACTGTAAAATAAAATACAGTTATCCTAAAAACCAACATGATCGAAATATTTCAATTTAGGACGAATTTGCCGAAAGAAGTAATGGGGTTTCCTGATTTTCCGATACCAGATCGAACAGAGAGTTATTTAACACGCAATGAAATACTTAATTTTCTTAATTCTTATTGCGATCATTTTAAATTAAGACAATACATTCGCGTAAGTAAAATAATTGTGACAAAGATATTTCATTAAAAATGAAAACATAATAACAAATTATTCGAATTATTTTTTCAGTTTCTTCATAACGTCGAATATGTAGAACCGATCTCGGGTGATCGTAAATGGTCGATCAAGGTCAAAGATTTAAAGAATAATATTGTTCAAAGTGAGACATTCGATGCAGTTATGGTTTGCAATGGTCATTATTTCGAACCTTTTATACCGAATTTAAAAGGAAAAGATATTTTTCAAGGAAATCAACTGCACAGTCATGATTACAGAGTACCAACCATTTTTAATGATAAAACTGTCATTGTAATTGGTGCTGGTCCTTCTGGTAAATTAATATTTAATTTTTAAATATAATTAACTTTGATTTTGTTTAATCAGTTATACTTTTTGTTTTTGTTTTAAAGGCATGGATTTAGCACTTGAAATATCAACGAAAGCAAAACGCGTAATTTTAAGTCATCATTCAAAAGATACGATACTAACTCAATTTCCCGATAACGTGGTTCAGGTAATTTTTAATTAATTGTTTAAATAATTTTCTAAAATTGATATATACATACAGACACACACACAGACATTATATTCTACAATGAAATATTTTCTAATTTTGTTATTGTTCTTTTGTTAACGTTAGAAAACAGACGTCGTAGAATTGACCGAACACGATGCAATTTTTAAAGATGGTAGTAAAGAAATTGTCGACGTTATATTCTATTGTACAGGTAAGTAATGTTTATAATGAATGAAATAAATTATTAATTCGTATATCATTTTTAAATTCATTTTTTATAGGATACAAATACAGTTTTCCATTTCTTTCGGAAAAATGTGGAGTTCGGGTTGATTCCAATATGGTAACTCCACTTTGGAAACATCTTGTTTCTATTGAAAATCCTACTCTTGCTATCGTAGGATTACCATTTTATGTTTGTGCATTTAGTATGTTCGATTTGCAGGTACGTATTATTTAATTATTATTAATTACATAAATATATAATTCACAATGAAATTTGTATATAAAAAAAAAAAAAAGGTACGATTTCTTCAACGTTTTTGGCACGGAGAGAAAACATTTCCAGAGAAGACAAAAATGTTGGAAGAAGAATCGAAGGAATTGGAAAAGCGTATTAAAAATGGATTAAATAAAAAACATTTTCATCAGATGGGAGTTGATCAAGGTCAATATTACGATGATTTGGCAAATACAGCTGGTATAACTCCGTTACCACCGGTGTTGACAAAATTGCATAATGAAAGTAGTAAACGGTTTTTGGATGATTTAGTGCATTACCGAGAAGATAGATACAAAATTATTGACGATTATAATTTCGTACAACTTTAAAGATATATTTTATAAAATAGGAAAAAGAAACACGATTATATATATATAATTAATTAGAAAAGAAAAGATATAGAGAAAAAAAAGATGAAATAATTAAACGATAAAGGTTCATACACAGATCTAAACTGTATGTTATAAACAATATGTTTTATTAGTGTAAAATGAAGACGAAAACATTATAAGTACTTATAACTACACAGTACCAATACATAAAAAATCTTTTCTCGTAATGTTTCCATGAATTTTTGATTTCTAGCAGGGCTTCTCAAAGCGTGATTCGCGAATACCCATACAGGGTTGTAGAAAATTTAACAAAACTAAAAAAAGTTGGTACATTTTTGTTTGTCTTTTAATAATACGTGGTAAAATTATCTTTCTACGTATACCAAAACATTGTTCTTTTCGAATAAATTGTTATTTATGATTTTATTATAGGCAAATGTTTTAAATTCGGGGAAAATATTTGCTCGATTAAATGGGATGGTGTTGTATAACAAAAACAATTTGAGAAACCTTGATTTATAGAACTTGAAAAGATTTATTACAAGGTATCGGATATTAAATCCGATTTTTGATTTTAAAATGAAATCGCGTTTTTATTTTTTATGCGGTAGTTGTTTTCTTTTTTTCCCCTTGCCCCCCCCCTGGCCCCCGCCCCCATTACCTGCATATACAAAAATAAATTACAAATTAACAATCGAACGTTTTAAACGTCTAAATATTGTTTCTTTTTATTTCGATGAGATTTCAAATAAATGATCAATCATTTTGGAATAGCGACCAAAAAGAAGCAACGTTACATAACATGTACAATGTGACAAGAAAAATAATATTCCTGTATTTTTTTTTTTACATTTCACAGTTTAAAATTCACAGCACGCGATATACATATTCTGCACATTTTTCTTTTTCTTTTTTTTTTTTAATTAAATAATTTTCCCTCAAACGCGCGTTTCATATTTTCATTAAAATGTGAAACTAACATAAGACTAAAACTAAAAGGGTGTGGGTTGGGAGATGTCTGTTACCAAATTAATAAAAAAAATCAAGTAACAGTGATGAAAGAAGCACAAGATTAATAGATAATAAAAAAAGAAAACAAGCTTCCCGATTTAAATAATATAAATTGTATCTTAATATTTATATATATATATATAAAGAAAATAATTTCAACCAAAAAATTTAATTTAAATACCACAACGTCGTCACAATAGAATGAAGAAAAAAATTTGCAAGAAGACTTTGCAATTACAATATTGATTATTTTTATTTATCAAAATTGTTCAGATTGATGTTCAGCATGTTCATGGATCTAATAATATATTAATTGAATAATGAATAAATCAAGAAATTTGTATGGAATTAAAACATCTCTTGCCAAGACGTAAATTAAAGAACATATACGTCACCCATACGATATTATTATATCAAAGAAATCAGTCCTATCGCGATTGCTCGTTACATTAAGTTTTCCAAGAATAATTCGTCTTTTCTTTCTTATGTGCACTGTCTTGGATCTGTTACTGCAGTTTGTAGCATTAAACATATTCCTTTCCCACTGTTTAGTATGTTTAAGGATAATGTACCTATTGTTATTACGAATACCTTTATCCACAATTAAACAGAGGAAAGGGAAATGAGTTAAACTGCTAGGAATCAGAATGTTTCGATTATTATGTGCATTCAGTCAATATACTCAGCGAGCCAACGGAAGCCTTCGCCGTAACCTTGCTTTTTTAACACAGAGCACATAAATAATTCCAATGGACGTCCGGGTATTTCACTACGTGGAATCTTACCCTGAAACATTAATATTTAATTATTATAAATAAATATTCGTAGCAACCAAATTAACCCCTATGCTATAACAACGTGTTGTAAGACTTTTAGCAAATCTTATGGGCAAAATATAAGAAGCATAAGTTTTATTTGCAAATACTTGTAAATGGTATGCAACTCAACGTACTAAATCATAGCACAAGGGGTTAAATAAACATATTATGTTAGAATTACGTTTATAATACCTTGCCAGTAGTCTGACCATAAAGATTAAAGAAATTTCTAAGTTCATCTTCTGATGCAGCATCCAGCCTATCAATTTTGTTACCCAATACAAGAACTGGACAAGCACTGAGTTGTTCATCGGTTAAGAGTGCATCAAGTTCAGCTTTTGATTCTGCTAATCTAGATTTATCACTTGCATCTACGAGAAATACTATGGCATCTACTGCTGGGAAATAGTCTTTCCATACTCTGCGAGCTGTACAAATGATCATTTCTTAGATTATTTATTTCACATAAAAATATTATGTAAGAGAAGAACTATAGTCATGTTTGGAAGTAAAAGAAAGACGTGCCTTGAGTGTGTCCTCCTAAATCAAAAGTAGTGAACCTCATGTTGCCGATGGACAACTCTTCAGATGCTGAAAAATAAACAAAAAATTTATTAAAAAACAAAGATCACACTTTGATGAATATAATCAAATGAATAATTGTCAAATAAATTACTTGGATGCAGTGTAGGTACATGTTGAGCTAAACGATCATCTTTAAGCATGTGTAACAATGTAGTTTTGCCTGCATTGTCCAGACCAAGAAACAGAAGTTTGCCACTTTTCTTCCATAGCCCTAAAACAAATATTTGTTTATAGATTATAAATGAAATTACTATAACAGAAGAAGAATTAATTGTATGAAATATTTCTTTAAATGAAGAAAACAAATTTAAATGTCATTTAAAATAATCCACTTACCGAGATAACTTAAAACTCCTGCGAACCAGTCCCACAGAAACATATTTGTGTGCTAGTTAGTATTACTTTGACTATACCTTGAATAACGAATGACTCTGCAACAAAGGAAGATAACAAGACACAATTCTATATGTACATAATCGACGTAGTATGACGTTTATTGTGAGCATTTTTTTTGTAAATATCATGCAACCTTGATTGGAGAAAGAAGTTAAAAGGAAAGATATGAAAGATCGATTAAATCTCAAATTTTAATAGAAACAGACAAAAAAAAATAACATAGATTTATTCTACAAATGATTTATCAATTAAAGAGTAATCAAGATAATGTTGATTAACAAAGAATTACTCGAGACAATGATAAAACATTTACTATGCAATACAGAGTAAGTGCATGTTGAATTAAAGTCTCTTTGACAATATAACACACTCTCTCGATCATTATTCTTTAACACACACCACTGTGATTTTTAAGGAGAAAACATTAGACAAATTGAAAGTAAAAATGCATATTTATAATATGACACTAATTAATTGATATTTTGATAAATTGGACGTACCAAATATATGAAAAAAAGGGATGAAAATGTTTCTTTTAGACAGTGAAAAATGCTATTCCTCTCACTGGATATGTAGCTCGATCGAGCCTAGTTGGCTGGCAGTTGGCACGGGTGACGTCTACTTCCGGTAGCCATCTTTATTCGAATAATGCTGTATCATAAGCGCGGTTCCTAAGGTCAGTTATTCTAATTTTATTCGCTTATTGAATCTTAATTTAGTATTAAGCTTCCTACTATTCTCTCGATTTTATATTTATATTATTTACCCGGTTAAAATTGTTATTCAACTTATTAGAAAATTACATTTAATATTTTCGTGCGAATGATAATGCATTCGTTTAAATATTATACATAATGGTAACTCGATGTATCAAATTGATGTAAAATTTTATTTAAACATTTTATTAAATATCAATCTCAATATTGTATTAAAAAAAATAATAGAAACAATAACAAATGTATTTAGTTCGAATGATTTGTTTTAACTTTCAATCTGTTGAATTTCAACGTGTATATATTTCGTTTTTATTTAATTATTGACACATTATCTTTTTGAACTTTTTTTATACAATTATTTACATTTTTAAATTACACGTTTACTTTCAGTAATGATAATTATCGATATCGAATTAATGAATTACAGATAAATAAAAACATTCATTCATTTATTTCAATTTAAAATCTAATTTAAACGAGAACAAACAAATATCATTCTATTGAATAATTCGTCAATGATTTTGTATTAAATGTCTACAAAGATAGATTTGTCATTGATTTTAATTGTCAAAATTTGTCAGTAGATAACGCTTTGATATTCGTAAATCTTTAAGCACGTTATCATTCTTATTATATGTAATTTAAGTAATTTAAAATGGCGCTTATATATTTGTAGATGATTTTAATTGTCCAAATGTGCCAACAGATGGCACTTCGATAGTCGCGAATCTTTAACCACGTTATCATTCTTATCATATGTGATCTAAGTTATTTAAAATGGCGCTTATGTTTGTTGGTAAGATTTTTATATTTAGTTTTTTATTAATTAAAATAATTCATTTTTTAAATGAAAAAGTGTTTATTCTTTGCGCTATTTATTCATATTTATTGGTTATATTAATATTTAGTGGTAACATTGTGCATTGTTATAAATTATCACATATGATTTTTTGATCATACATGAATTGTATAATGATATTTTTTGACAACATTATAAAAGAAATTTGTTTAATTGACATTTGTTTAATTCAATGTCTTAATAATTCTTATAATTATTTATTCATATATATGTGTTTTTTATATATGCAGGAAGATTATTAAATAATCTTTGCACGACATCGAAACATAACCTAGGAGTTACTAGTCAATTAATTATCCAAACACGTGATTATGCTGCAAGAAAAGGTACAAGAGCAAGACGAGATGCCAAAAAAATCAAAAAGAAAATAGAAAAGATTGAAAAAATTGGATTCATTGACAAATTGCTGCAAGCAGAAAAGTAAGGTTACTTCTTTTCATTGAAATTAAACTGTCAATGTAAATACACAAATGTTAATTGCAATGTATTTAATTTTCATAATTATTTCTAGAAAATCAACTACAGTAGTTAAAAGAAAAAGATTCACGCCAATAAATAAACCAGGCCCGATTGATAATGTATGGTTATTTAGGTCTCATCCACCTAAAATTTATTCTATCGAAGAAGCAGTGCAGTGTCATCGTGAAACGCATCATCCAACTATGTTAAATTGTCCAGATTCTAAAGTCATTGCCAAATTCGACATTAGTTTACTGGTAAATGATGAAAAGTTGTAATATTTGATACAACAATAGATGTCATTTTATTAATGATTTTAATTATATGCAAATCTATTTTAGGGTGAGAAAAAGGGAAAGTTTATAGAGGCTTTTAGTCGTATCATAGACTATCCTTATAATATTGAACACAATGAAAACAGAACGATATTAGCTTTCTGTGCAAAAGATTCTTTAGTACAGGAAGTTTTGAAGGCAGGTGCTACTTTAGCAGGTGGAAAAGATCTTATAAAATCCATTAAGGTAATAACACATTAAATTATATTTATTTCTATTAATTTATATTTATTTTTTATTTCATAAATTAATTCTTTATCATTTAGGGAGGTGACGTATCTTTAAGCGAATTTCAATACTGTGCAGCGCATCCAGATATTTTACCGGATTTATTATTAATTAGAGGTTTAATGAAAAAAAAATTTCCAACGACTAAAAGAGGTTTGTATTTATATTTTTAAAAATGAAAAAATATATATTAGATGACTCATAAAATTTTATTATATTTTCATTCAGGTACTTTGACTCCTGATCTTGAAGGTTTAGTAAAGAAATTTGTTCGTGGTACTAAGTATGATGCTATACCTGACAAATTTGAAAAAGAATATGGTATAATCCAATGTCCCATTGGAACGGTAAGTTTAACACAATTTATTATAATTTAATAATAATAATAATAATAATAACAATTTTGTATAAATAATTTCATTTGTTTTAGCTTGATATGGATAGCAAGCATTTGGAAGAAAATTTTGCAGCTCTTGTTAGAGACATTCATTCCGTTAAACCTAAAAAACAGACTGCAATTATTATAAGGTATTTTGATATTTAATCAACACACATTATTTTTAAATGAATCCTTAAACAATCTAATTAATAATGACGAATTTATTTATGTTAGAGGATGCTTGATCAGTCCACCAGGGAAGGAATATTTCAGTGTAGATGTTAATCAATATTTGCCACAAGAAACCATTGTGAAGGATCCTGTCAATGAAGAATTGTTGGAAGAAGAAGATGATTTATCGGATGCTGTTATACCGTCCCATTAATTATAGAACCTTAAGCATAAGTTTAAACACAAGGTGAACTTTTATTATTTAGTTTTAACAATTTGGAAAATCGGAAAGAGAATGTTAATAATATTCGACGTTTAATAGTTATTTTTTCTCCATGCTTAACGAAAAAAAAAAAAAAATAACCAAAAATCATTCCTAGATGATTTTCCTCAGATATCCTAAAAGTAAGAATTTAGAAAAAGAATGGATAAAAAAAAAAGGATCAGAGTAGGGGTGTTGGTGGTGGTGGTGGTGGTGGTGTATCGAGTAGTACATTCAACAATCCTATAACACGGTATATAAATTCTTTTCAAATCGTATCTAAACCTTATTTAAACGAAACATTCCTGTTATACGAGGAATTGTTCAAGGTATAATATGAAATTTATGTTATATGAAGGGCTGTCGCAATTTTCGTATCGTGTTTTCAGAATATTGTGTTATAAGAAAGAAGTTGAGCGCAGTATAAGGTGAACGCGCGAAAATGATGACGGGTTGGTGAGATGGTAGTGGTGGTGGTGGTGGTGGTTGGTAGTGTAGCGGAGTAGAAGGATGAGGAAAAGGAAGAGAAGGAAGGAGAAGTAGGGAGGAAGATCGTGCGAGAAACCGGCGGCTAAGACGGGGCGGCAAGTCGAAGGAAAAAGGAACGGAGAACGGTGCGCCTTGTTGGCGGTGATGGTGACGAAGAGGGGAGTAAAGAAAGAGGGAGGAGGAGGAGGAGGAGGTTGTTGTGGAGGAGGGGGAGCCAACTCGGCTACCTGCCGGTCGAGAGAGCTCAGTCGGTGTCCGCCAGGTTGAAAATCCGCCGCTTCTTCTCCTCCTTGTTCCTTTGCTATCTCGCACGTGATACTTTTTTTAAGGTTTTTTTTTTCTTTTTTCTTACGATTCTTAAAGAGAAAAAAAAAAAAAAAAGAAAAGAAATAGAAAAGTTTTTAAGGACAAAAAGTATTCGCGTATTGTTTGTACAGGTAGTTCATTTAAATTCATTTGGGAGGATAGACAAAAAATTTGGCGCGCGCGCGCAAAAAGAAAAAAAAGGATCCTTTAAGGAGGGTTCGGGGAAGGAATATAAAGTTTTGTATCATCAACAAGTATACGTTTCCATTTAACAGTGTGTACGTGCGTTCTCTTCTCAATTTCTGTGCGTGCACGCATTTATCGTCGTCGTCGTCGTCGTCGTCGTCGTCGTCGTCGTCGTCGTCGTCGTCGTCAGCGTTTGTGCGCGTATGTCGGATGTGTGTATGTGTGCGTGTGCGTGCGGTGCGTACGTTGTTGTTGTGCGTGTTGTGTTTGCCCTCTCCCCCCGTTGTACCTTCTCACGAACGCTCTAATGAAAAGGATGCGCCGCGTATGACGAGTTGGGTTTATTTTTTCTTTACGTACAACTGATTTTTAATTTATTTATATTTGCTTGTTTGTATTTCATTGTTGTTGTTGTTGTTGTTTTTTCTTTTTTCAAATCTTACAAGAATTGTGTTTATACGTTTTACTCACATAATACGTGAGTTTTTTTCTTACAATTAATTTTTTTTGATTATTTATATTTTTCAATTAAAATAAGTGCACGCGGGTGAAAATTCACGCAGGCGCGTTTAGTATTTAAACCTCGCGCACGCGTTATACTACAATCGGAGTTTGTGTTTACTACTGTTACGTGTTACCCACCGGTGATGATATCATTCATCTTCCGTGTAAACAACTAAACACGACAACTTTACTACGAGGAAGAAGAAGAAGAAGAAAAACAAGAAGAAGAAGACAAAGAAGAAGAAGAAGAAGAAGAATAGTAGTAATAGAAGTAGAAAAGGAATAGGAGTTGGATTTAACTTTTTTTCTTTTTCTCTTAAAAGAAAGTCAACGAAATTACTACGGAGAGAGAGAGAGAGAGAGAGACATGCACGATTTATTCAACGGTGTTGTTAGACACTAGCCCATTCGACGACGATATAGGAGCAGTAAAGAACAAAAAAAAAAGGAGAAAAAAAACACACACACACAAATATTCAACATGGTAAGCATGAGAAAAATATAAAATCTCCTTTTCTTCCACTCCCCCCTCTCCATCCTTTTCTCTTTCTTACGTATATAAACATTATTTATATTTAAATCATAAATTTAGATATACATATATACATATTTAAATTGAAAGTCAACGAACGAGGAAAAGTATAAGTTTAGCACGTTTATTGTTTGCGAAATGCAACAGTAACAGCACCAGCACCAGAACCAGCAACAACAGCAGCAGATGCAGATGCAGTACCAGCAGCAGATGCAGTTTATTTTGGTTACAAAAAAGTCGAATTTAAATCAACTATTCTAGCGAACGACAATCGTACACAAGGGAGGATACTCCACTAGGGGTTTCTTTGGATGAATAAAATAATATCAAAGAAAAGAACAAAGTTAGAGAAAGAGAAAGATATAAGTAAATGTGTAGGTTTGTCTTTGTCGATGGTGTGTGTGTGTGTGTGGTGGACTCTATATTTAGATGCACTAGGTCGACACACCAGCACAAATATCCGATGTTCATGAGCAAGAAACTAGTCGAATAGGCTCTCTCTCTCTTTTTCTCTCTTGGCTCTCCCCAACGAGATTTCTCGCGGTATATCGCTTCCCTCCTGGCGCTATCTTTGCTTTCAATTTGCTCTTTCCGTACCATTACTCCCACTCGAAATGTTACAAACCAATGTTCAATTTAAATGCGTTAACGTTCGTCCTGACGTATATTAAAGGTTTGTTTGAAACGAAAAACAAAACAACAACAAAAAATGACAGATAAAATAAAGCGGGCGGGGAGGGAGGAAGGAAGGAAGGAAGGAAGGAGGGTTCGATTAATATTCTATTAATGTTTATATTAAAAGGTTGAATTGATGATTTTTTTATTTGTTTGTTTGATATTGATTTTATTCGTATCAAATGTAAATTTCAATTTCAAGTGATCAATGTATATGAGACAGAGAGCCACGATTGCAAAGAAACCTGTTGGAGGAATAGATTTGTCTCTAATTGGAGAAATAATTAATTAATTATTATTAGAATTGAGATAAATCTAGCGTAGTCAAGCAAGTAGCTCGTTTAAACGAGATAACTTTTGCTTTCACTTGCTCTTTTTTTTTTT